TACGCAGGCCTCTCACTGTCGTGGCCTCTCCCATTGCGGAGCACAGGCTCCGGACACACAGGCTCAGCGGCCATGGCTCACGGGCCCAGCCGCTCCGCGGCACGTGGGATCCTCCCGGACCGGGGCACGAACCCGCGCCCCCTGCATCGGCAGGCGGACTCTCAACCACTGCACCACCAGGGAGGCCCTTCTTCTTTTTTGTTTTGCAAAAGCCCAATCCTGAAATGCTGGATTTTGTAATCAGATGAAAAGAAGGTGCCTATGATACATGAAAAAGAACAATATCTGAAGAGAAGCATTGGCATTGCAGCTGAATGTGTGCTTTCCGGAACGTACCAAATGCAATTTGGTGCGTGAAGTGTTATTGAAAACATTCACTGAGCCAGTCTCCCTCTCCAGTGCACATCGTTTCTACATAGACAATAACAACTTCATAAGCATTGGTACATATTTACATGCTTCTCTTTCCTGTAGAGTTTGCCTTCTTTTAAAAACTACAAAGCTGTGCTTAAGGGTGTCCGGGGTGTGGGGTTGCACGTGAAGAACTCCAGACATATGTACGACACGCAAAATCATGATGACCCAAATAAGCTCGAGGGGTGTGAATCTGCGTTTCACACGCACATTCTGGGATCTGAAATGGCCAACCTGCATAGCTGCTGTCCCCGCACAGGTACACATGGGGCAGGCAGGCCCACAGCGAGTGCTTGGAGCTGCGGAGTGCTTCTGCATGCTTGCATCCTACAGTCCATCAGGCTTCAATCTGGGAGTTCATCCATAGCTCCACGGTGGCTTTTGTTAACACAAGACTATCGTCTGCCGTATGGTTCTGAGTACGACAAATGTGCCAAGACGATGCCGCCATTAGACCAAGACTAAAGTATGCAGGAAGGACTCAGCCAGATTTCGGACTTGAGATACAAACCCTGACTCCAAGCTCAGCTGGAGAAGCAGTGAACTGGCCCTGTTTTTTGTTCAAGTGACTAAGTGACTGTGGCTTTAATGACAATAGAAAGCATGTGTCCTTCTTGGACAAGTGTTGATTAACAATGCATTGCCCAGCGGAAAACCTGCACCCTCTACAGAGAAAAGCACGTCTGTCTGATCCTATAAGCTTTCTCCCAATTCAT